GGCTGGTGGCCAGCCTGCCCCAGGAGCTGCTGCAGGACTACGGCGAGGACTACGTGGAGGAGATCAACCGCCAGTTCATCCAGTTCATGAAGGTGGCGGTGGAGGACCTCAGCGCGGTGGTGAACAGCATCACGGACGGGCTGCTGGCTGCCAACCCAGCCGTGCGCTACTACCCAGGGCAGGGCCTTGGGCTCATGTATTTCATACACCGCTACCTGCCCTACTTCGTCCGAGACTTGTTCTTGAAAGGATTCTTCATCAACCCCAAGCTGCCCCGAGCGCTACGGCGAGAGCACCACGACGACGCGAAGAAAGCCTGACCTCAGCCCGCATGCGGTCGCGGGGCAGGAGCGAGCCTTCTCCTGGGATTTCCAGGCACAGCGGCCCCCGAGCGCGTGCACAGCCGTCGGCATCGCCCTCCTGCACCACGGGGGAACAATCAGCGCTAGACATTAAACACCAAATTGCTTTCCAGAATCAGGCAGATCTATTTTCTATCGTGCGAGAATCAACGTTTTCTAGAGACCTTGTTTTTGTATTTTTTTCTAACCGTGCATCCTCCAAGTTGGGGCGGCTCCTGCCTGACTCAGCGGCTCTGCACCATGGGCTGGGATGTACCTCGGGCATTTCTCAGCTACCTGACATCTTCCTCACTGCAAGCATTTGTCTCCATCACCTCTTGGCTGGGTCAGGCCCGGGATCCTGTGGCCACTGCCATGCCAGCCCTGGCCTCCCTGCTGTTCGTTACACACTCCACGTGCTCCCGGCAAGCACAGGGGCCGAGGCTGGGCTGCAGAGCTCTTCACAAGGTGAACTACGTGATTGTCACTTTTTAAATAAATCCATTCTTGATATGCCACCGGGCTCTGGCAGTCTCCTTCCGCAGTGCAGCACGGCCATGCTTGGTCAGGGATGCCCTGCCTGCGGGCAGAGCTGGGGGGGCAGCGCCGCGAGGACCGTGGCGGGAGCCCCGCGTGGGGCAGCAGGGGCCACAGGCAGACCCCAAAAAAAGGGATCAGCCTGCCAGGAGGAGCTTGCACCCACCCCAAAGGCTTCCTTTTGCTTTGCTCCCACAGCAGGGCGAGGATGGAAGCAGGGGGACGGGACAGTGCCACACAGGGACAGTCCCACACAGGAAGCCCAGGCGCAGGGGGACAAGCTTAGGAAAGCCGGGGGCTGTGCCACACGGTTCCCAAACTGCACGGCTGACTGCCATACGGCTACGACTCCTGGGGACCCACCAGCTCAGCACCCACAGAGCAGGCACAGAGCGAGGGCCCAGGGACCCAAGGGGTGGCATGACCCCGCCTGTGGCAGAAGTAAGCACCCCGTGCGACGCAGGAGCCACACCAGGCTCTATTACTACAAACATCACTTTTGCTGGGTGAGAAGACCCCTGGGTGACGCAGGCTGCTCTTGGGGAGCCCAAGTATGCAGGGAGAGCACAGTGCAGGAGGCAGATATTTATTGGTGTAGAGAGGAGATCACAAGTTAACAAACACTGCAGAGGTGACCACAGCACAAGCCGGGACAGAGCCGCTATCCATCAATCCCACCAGCAAGGCTTCTCCGGTGCCACACCACCACAGGGCAACTCCCAGACCTCGAGCAAAGTAGGAGCTTGCCTGGACACAGCCATGCCCGGGGCTTGGCTCGCACCCCCTAACCACAGTCGGGCAGGGCCAGGACAGGGTGTGGGACATTTCTGCCACCAGCCACCCTCTGTGCTCATCAGGGTGACCAAGCGAAGCCAGACCCGAGGGCTGCCCTGCCCAGTGCCCAGCTGTGCCCATACGGCTCCACGGCAGCGCCAGCCCGGACGTTCCGCGCAGGGGAGGGGGCTGCAGCAGCCTGGATGTGTGCCCTGGGAGGGTACACGGGTCCAGCACCACCCACAGAGCCAAAAGGAGCCCCGACTCTTGCACGGCTGTGACAATAAGCTCCAAGCTGTGGGGCTGCAGGGGAGAGGAAGGAGCTCAGCCAGGTTACGGAGCCCTTTCCAGCTGCAGGGCAGGAGGGAGACATGAGAGCTGCTTCGGAGGCCACGGTGAGGCTACGCTAGTGCAGATTCTGGGGGAGCGGGGAGGAATGTGCTCCACAAGCGCACAGGCTCTGCCCTGGTGTTCCTACAGGCTCCGTCCCAGTCCTGCCCCAGGTCAGAGTTAGCTACAGGGGGATGCAGGGATTGCACAGCAGCACGGGCAACGCTACAAATGACACTCGAACTAAATCTCACAGGAACAACACTGACTAGGAGGCGTGCAGAGCACTGACGGAGAGGACCCCCGGCCACGGCAGACCTGATGTGTTCCTCCCTGGCAGCGGGAACCCCTTGGAGGCAGCAACCCCCCCGGCTGGTGCTTGCTCTACGAGCATAAGCGCATACAGCAGATTAGTACAGTAACACGGGGACTCTAAGATACACAACAGGAGGTGTCCCTCCTGCTACACAGGGCCAAGCCTGTACCACTGGTGCCTCCGGACCCCTCACAGCACACACAACTCAAACTTCAGCCTGTGAATAATTTAACTAGCAACTGTACAGTTTCCTCATCTGAGCCAGTTCCACAGATGGGACATCCCTGGAGTCTGGGCAAGGGATAACTCAGGGAGTTAGACGGGGCTCCCTCCAGATTCCAGGGGTGGGAGGGTCAGACAGGAGCAGAGCGGGCTTAGAAGATGGGAATGTAGTTGTCGATCTTGGTCCTGTGCCGCTGGGCGATGCACTCTGCAATCCACACAATGTTGCGGCACTCCTGCTCCTTCAGCTTCACGAAGGCATAGAAGACTCCAAAGTGGAATTGGTTGAGGAAAGCCAGCTTGTTCAGCTTCACCTAGGGAAAGCCCAGAGGAGGACATGTCACTTGTCCACCTCAGATGGGAGGAGCTGGTCAAGGCAAGCGTGGAGCAGCCTGGGAGGTCCCCTGACATCCCCAGCAGGCTGGAGGGCTCAGCACAGGTATCCTGCTCCGCACCCCTCTAGGTCCTCGGGGCAGCTGTATCCAACAGCACGTGGCTCAGGACAGGCTCTGACATTTGAAAATCCTCCTTTCCCACAAAATTACACTCTGGTTTTGCTATCGATGGAGCAAATATCCATCAGCAGCCCCAAACTTGCCTCCCACACTGCTCTAACCTGTCTGGCAAGAACATAGACCAAGCACCATGCTGGGCCCTCATTCCCTCGCTGCAGCATCCTTTTCCTTCCCCCAAATTCTCTTCATCCACAGCACTGCTGACAGGGCAGCAGACAAGCCTGCTGCTACCCTGAGCTTTGCAAATGGCACAGGTACATACAGGCCGGGAAATATCTCAGGGCTCACTCACCTCATGCTCAAAGAACCTGTCCTCAAGGGTCTTGTCTCCAGGGTTGCTGCCAGCCCCTTCAAACAGCAGCTTGTACTCCTGCAGGAAGACATTACAAGAGAATATACCCAAACCCCAAAGCCCTCCAAGCTCAGCAATGTTCCTGCGCTCAAACAGACCCCCCATCACCATGGCAGGTCAGCAGAAGACACAGAGAAGCCAAGAGTCTGCCCAGGGCACACATGAACATTGGCAATGGGATGCTGCTGAGGCTGCACTGTGCACACACCAGCTGAAGACAACCCTCAGAGAGGCAGAGAAAGCCTTTGTTTCATCTGTGAGCTTGTCCAGCTCAGATCCTACCCCTTCTCTGAAACGTGCAGTTCTCAAAGCCGTATCATCACTTTGAGCCTGCGGTGAGGATGCACCAGGTACAGACCCCTCCATCTACCAACCCGAGTGGGCCAGGCCCCTGTGCCCACAAACACTGGCACATGCCCTGGTTGCTTCAGCACGGGGACACCGAGCTCTCCGACTCCAAACAGGCCCCCAGCCATGCACAAGAGCAGCTCAAGGAACCCAGACACATCCAAGCATCTCCCAGGTCAGCGTCTCCCCTGCAACCGAACCAGAGCTCATAGCCACCCACTAGAGCTAGAGATGTGGCACACCACTTCTGGCTAAAGACACGCTTTCCTCCTCCAACCAGCCAAACAGAGACTGTCATTGCTGCCACACTGATACCTCAAGGGTTTTGTGGTGAGGGCAGTCCCCACACCCTGGGTCTGGTCTCTCTATCACCACTGCTACGGCAACCATGACTAACAAGCCAACGGCATCCCAAGCAAGCCAGCTCCATCTTGGCCAAGCAGGGCACAGGACCAACAGCAGCAGCAGACAGGCATCCCCCTCCCCAGGCCGTCAATCCACAAGTTCCCCCCGATCCCTGAGAAGCTCTGATCCAGAGCAGGTCCTCACACCAGTCCCCACACCCCTCAGCCCAAAGCACTCACAGGATAGTAGTCAGCAACATTTTTGACTTGTTCATAGTCATCTGCTCTGGCCAGCTGAGCCAGGCCCTCAGGGTAAAGCTTGCCACAATGCGGGAACAGCTTTGCTCGATCCTCCTTGGACAGCTCAGTACCAAATGAGTTAATGGTGATAATGAAGGCCCTCCGGTCGGCTTCAAACTGCAAGAGAAGAGGGGTTCACCTTGGGATGCAGCATCTTTGTCAGAGCCCAGCAGATACCGACGTTGCTCTGAACAGAGCCACACCAAAGGGCAGCATGAGCAAGCTGCTGGGACGCATACGCTGTCCGCTGCTCAGCCAGGGCAGGCTACACGTGCAGACTCCCCGTGTGCCCAGTAGCTGATGCCTGAGGAACACTCAGGTGAGGAAATCCCCATGCCAGACACAAGCCAAATCGCTGAGCAGGACCCTGCCCAGGTCAAGGAGTCTCTCTCACCTACTGCCCCCGAGCCCTTCGCATCCCACAGCTAGCCTTGCCACAGAGACAGGCTGTGCACTGAACAGCTCTGGCTGTTCTCCTGCCCGTCATCCATGTGAGAGGATGAAGATGTTGCCACAAAGGCAACGGATGTGGTAGCACGTGGCAAGATCAGGAATGGGGAACCAAGCCTGCCCAAAGTCAGTGTTTTCCTAGATCTCCCAGTGAGCTGTAAGAGTGTGCATGGGGATGCTGAAAAACATCTTGATTGTCCTTACCGCTGGCAGGCAAGCTGGGCCTGAGCACAGAGCAATGAATATCACTGCAATATCATCCAGCTACGGAGGGGGTTCCAGACCTACCTCCAGGATTGGGCACATGGCATCTGCCGTGGTACCTCCCAGCACCTTGCAGAACTTGTAGAAGGACTCCAGGTAAGCCTGGAAGAGAGACAGCAGATGAGCACTTTTCTACACGGATTCATCTACTGCCCCCACAGGGCCATTCGGTAGGGGACAGACAGCAAACAGATGCTCCCAGACGCTTTATAACACAGCACAGGCACTCTCACCCCAAGTGAACTTGGATGCCAAGCCCACACAAGGGACAGTGCTTCCCCAGGAGCTGGAGACATGAAGGGTTGTGGTTGGGTTCATTCAAGTGACTGCATGAGCTTACTGCAGGCAAGATCCCCAGGCAGCAAGGAGAGAGTCTATTTTGCTCCTTTGAGTCGTCTGACTCCAAAGCATTTACTGAAGTCTCACATGGTTTCCTGACCCCGTTCTGGCCTCCGCAAACATGCCAAGCCACACAACTATAGCTGCAAGACCTACGCTCAGAAAGTACCGCTGTGTAAGCAGAGTCAAGAGATGAGACAGGACATCTGCGAAGGAAACTAGCCACCCTCTGTAATTCTCTTTTCACACTGCAGCCGTTTGGTCTCCATCCCAACTGGAGCACTGCAGAAAACATATAAGGCTAGGCACAGCTATGCTGCCTCCAGGAAACGTAATCCTTTTTCGAGATGTACCATAATCCAGCTGGAAGATGACTGTATCTCCCAGGGGGAGGCCCACAAAGGCAGTGCATGGCTAAAAGTGCTGTTCAGCAAAAACTTTTTCAGAAGAAGCCATCATGTGATAAAACACCTCCCTGGACAGAGAGCTGCAACCAGAATCAGTTAAAAGGGACTGGAATAAAACGATGCCGAGACATCACAAATCTCTGCTTTGTCATAACAACTCCAGGACTGAAGATGGACCAAGAACGCACGTGTTGGACACCCTCAGCCTCTCCACTAGGAAAGCACCTAGATTACTGTGCTCTGTAAATATTTGTTACCACATAGTGACAGAGGACACTGCTGGGTGAGCATTACACATCAAAGAAACATCGGCTCCAGCACTTGCTCAAGTGGAGGAGAGCACAGAGTCTGCAGAGTTACCACAGGAATAAGGACACGGATAACGGACTTTGCTTGAGGCTGACACAAGAACGAACCTGGCTAAGAGGTTCAGTCACTACCTCTGCCCTTCTCAGAGTTCACACACAAGCTTAAAGCTTTAGAAGCAAAAATAGGTGAACTCAACTATCCAGCACTGAAACAGACATCGCAGAAACACAGTCTCTAAAACAGCCACACGTGGTACCCTCCCATCCATATGCAGATGACAGCAGTTTACAGAAACTCTCCTGTCCCCCAAAACCCTTAGCCCAGGAATGGTGGTGTCTTTGCATTTAATAATCCTTAACGGCTTTTTACTTCCACAAACTCACTCATTTACCCTCTGCCTCCTGCTAGCCTCATTTGTCTGCCACCTCCAGCTCGAAGAGAGATCAGCTGCTCCTTCAGCTGGTTCTTATTGCCAGCAAAGGCCAACAGTCAGTCAGCTTCACTTCAACATATCCATTAAAGATGCAGAAAAAAAAGGGAGTAAGCACTGAAGAGAATGCCAGCACGCCTCCGTTGCAGGAGTCCATTGCTGATCACCCTCTACACTAAGAGCTGACCGCTTACTTTTAACCTCTCCTTCCCATCTTAACCATATTTCCATTTGAGAACCTTCTCATTTGCCACTGCTAACAAGAAACCTCTGTAACCCCTTTCCTCCTATGAATCTTGTCCAAACCTTCTGTCTACATGCTCGCAGATTGCTTCAAAAAACCTCCAGTAGGTCTGGGAGTGGCACTTCCCCTTCCCATGCCAACTCCTCTCAGACGCAGGCATCCATCCCAGGCACCCGCCTGCTGTGTTCCTCAGAGCAGCTCTGCGCAGATTTCCCGTCTGATTTTATTTCCCTCATTTGCCTAGGAAGACCGTTTGCATTGTATTATACATTTTCCAGTCCTTGGGGAGAGAGGCGGCTTCAAGTGAGAGTCTGTAACCAGCAGTTAGCTTTTCCACCCTTGATTTATTACTGATGGAGCCGCTATGCTCCCCGAGGGCCGCTCTTTAACTAGAGCCAGTCCCAGCACACACCAAGAGACACCAGGCATCTACGCTTCGATTTGGGGGTAGGAAGAGCAGAATGCAAAGCAGTATCAGGCCTCAAAAAGGAGATGGGAAAGGACGTGGCAGCTGGGACCCAAGGAGACAACACCCCCCAACCTGCTCACCCCGTGCTAACGCTGCTCCCTGCCTTCCCCCACCTGCCCCATCTCAACACAGAGGTCAGCACCCTGCACGGCTGCGGGGATTTATGCATGCACACATACCTTCCCCCCGTTACAGCAAACGACCAGTACATGCCAGAGGCCACACGCAGCTGGGCATGACTGCTGACACGCAGCTCCTTCTCCCCTCCCTTTGCCGTCTTCCCTTCACGCCTGACCTGTTCTCTGCCTCTCCAAACGGGCCACAGCTTCCTTGGGAAGCAGAGGTCACGCAGGCTGCAGGCTGGCTGCAACCAGCCAAAACAAGGTTGGCAGATACAATCTGCAGCCCACCCTTCATCCAGAGAGTCGAGATGGAGCGATAGCCGCCGCCTGCACATAAACACATGCTTTGATACTGCCAGCTAAAACCAGAAAAGGCCTGCAGAGGAGACAACAGTTCCCTGTGCAGGCTGGGGACAAGGAGAACCTTAGCCCCTCCGCATCCATCCCTGTGCCTGCAGGACCTCTCCACCCCAGCTGCACCTTTTACACTGCTCTACCAAGAGCATCTAACCCCAACCACAGCCACTGAAAGCTTGAACACACTGTTGGAGGTTCTTCTGAAAGAGCTCAAGACAGAGAGCCAAGCCCATGGAAGCCCTTCAACCAAGTTTAGGATCAAGCCACTTCAGCCCTTTGAATGCAATTAACAACACATTCAAACTTGTGTGGTTAAGGAGCAGCCTTCTCCCGCCTGCCTGAGGCCCAAGGAAATTTATTCAAAGGCAGGACCTCTGCAAAATCTCTTGCACAGACTCCTGACAGCTCCAAAAACCAAACCCACTCTGCCTAGCTCTGGTGTCCTGTCTCTGCAGAGCTGGCTGACTGGATGTCAGCCTCCAGAAAGAGCACTATCTTCACCTTCCAGTGGATGCAACTAGTTCTTGGTCACGTTCACTCTATTCCAGGGAAGAAAACTGAAAGAAAGCATATTTATTTTTATATCTACTAAGAGGAAAATACCCTCTCCTTTTGTGTTGAAGAAAGCCAGCCCAGGTTGGAGCTCCTGACTCAAGACAGAGCTGCAGTCATGCTAGGAATAAATAGGGAAGCTAACACCTCTTTCCCAGAGGCTCATTTACCTTGTACAGTGTGTTTCGAATGATTTCGATGTTCATTTCATCCAGGTCCTGTTCATATATGCAGTCTTGGAAGAAAGCAGCTGAAACAGAGCCACAGAGTTAGCACTGCCCAAACCAGATCCATGCCCAGCACTTTCCAGAGTCCTCAACAATACTGCTCAGAAGCACACCCTATGTTGAACTTGTCCCTACTAGGCCTGGTCCTTATCTTCAGCAGCCACCAAATTGCCGTGACTCAAAACCTCAGGCTCCACCACGGTTCCCCAGGCCACAATCATTTTTGGGGCTCTCGCACCAGCCTATTCTCAGCAGAAATTCTCAGCTCTAGCCCCCAGCATCAGTGCCAGGGCAGCCTGTATTTAAAAATACGTCCAACCCAAACTGTTCCCAGATGCAGGCACTTCGAGGTGACAAGACAGCTTCCCAATTGCCTGCTATGCATAGTAGCAGCACTAAAGCATCTGTGAGACAGCAGTTAGCGAGTCCTGAGGAAGCTGGTGCTTCTCCCTCCTTCTCCAACATCTTAGTTGGATTAGGGAGGCACGGGGATGCCACAGCTCCTACAGCCCACTACACCCCATGGTTGGAATCAGGAACTGTTTCCCCTGGTCAGGTCTATCAGTCCCATTTTCCACTTCTTCCGAGGCCTTTTATTTCTCCAGCTGGAGAAAAGCAACAGAAAACACGACAAACTAGTGATTTTTGGTAGGATGTCAGCCCTACGTACTTTGCCAGAGTATCTCTGGGAGGGAGTTTGAAAAGTTGTTGCCACTGAAAGAACACAGATTTCAGACCTAACACAGGGTACTCAAGCTGCAGATTATGATGGGTCTTGTACATCTAGTGTAACATAAGGATGTTGCGCCACTTACTTGTTAGCAACAGCACAATAAAACCCATTGGGACTTCTATGGCTTCTTCAACTCTCACTCAGCAACCAACTTTGTCGAGTTGACTACATAGCAAAATATGATCTTTCTCAGTTTACGCAGTCCAGCTGCGGGTAAAGGACGCTGCACTCATGCTAACAACTTACCGGTGTTCTGCTTTGCGCGACAAACCAGGTATGATGCAGGCTCACACCTCTGGCACGCACCACTTGTATACCACAAGCTCCCTGGCACAGAGAGGAGCCGCACTGTGGGTCTAGGAAGTGCTGAACAGGGGTTAACCCCCACGGAGGTTTCTTTGCAACACCACCAGAGACCAATGCCACGTAGCTGGAGGAGCACTGCTCCCTACTGTTGGCAAAAATGAAACCAGAGTGTGCCAGGACTGGTTTTCATTGCAGGACTCACTGGCTAGCCCAGATAGCTAAGCAGTGGCTACTTCAGAGTAGCAGAGGAATGAGAACACAGCTATTTCAGTTCTTGGCCCTCCAATATCCTAAATTAGGCTAACAGCAAGTCTTATTTTGCCCTGCTAACCTAGGAAAGCCATTTGGGGTTAGGCATTCCTACCAAGCCACGTAGCTACTCAAGTACTTTTAGGAGATAGAGCTGCTGTTTCTTTGTGTGTGGTCACTGGAAGGAGTGCAAGTTAAACAACTGGAGCCTGCGTGCCTGCTTGTTTAGGCAACACAGCTACTCCCCATGTTCTCCTGCCAAAGAAATGCCACACTAGGTGGTACACAGCCTCAAGGGCATGGCCAGGGCAAAGGTCTGAAGAAGAACTCAGCCTAGCCAGGGCAGAAGCAGGCAAAGCCCACTCGTGTACAAGTGCACGATGGCAAGAGGCACAGCCTTGTTCCCCAGAACCACCTCGCCAGTGTAACAGGGCATTTTCACCCCATACACAGCTGGAAGCTTTAAGGTCTCCGAGAGCTAATATCTTTGAAGTACTTAGTTCTATCTTATTCCCAAAACGGGAAGGTTCCCACTTACGCGTGAGGAGGATTTTCTTCCCATGCATCATCCCTACAGCGGGCTCAACTCAGCTGCATGCAGAGCCTCGGTTCTCCTGCTGCGTTGTTGCCTTACCTTGCAACCCAGACCTCGAAACATGTTCTCCCTCCTTTGCTGGGCTCTAGCTGGCAAGTCATTTTTCCATGACAACTACTTCACTCGCCCCATTATTACACAGAGCATTTGGAAAAGCACTTTCAGTTCCAAAAACAACTATTTCTATCAACGACAATATGATGATTTAGAGTGTTTTGTTCTTTCTAGCAACCCCAAAAGAATGATTAATCACTGACTCAGGCGTACTTCATTACTTTTTTGCCCACAGATGCTAACCTAGAAAGTCTCCTGTGACTATCTCTCCTACTACTGCAAAAAGACGTCCGTGTTTTCTACAGAAGCACTTCCTACACCTTTTATCTTTGAAGAACGTATCTGTCCGACTGTTGATAAGAACCTTGGTTTCAGTGTCATGGGCCTCCTGGTGAAGGCTTGTAGCCCTGAGACAGTATAACCCAGTGCAGGATCCCCCTATACAATAAGCTTAAAAAGACTTTTGGAGATTTTGGGGTGGGTTTTTTTTGCTGTTGTTGGTTAGGGTTTTTTGGTATGTAAGGAGCTTTCCTTGATCTACAGCTAATTTTGTCAGTCTCAGAACAAAACTGGGCATGTGCAGATCTCTATAATTATCTACAAAAGTTTCCCACAAGAAATCGCTTAATGGTCCAACTAAAAGTGCTGGAAATTAAGTGACTAATTCCAGGAGAGGACCTGATAGCCCTTCGCTAAGGAAGCACACGTGCCATGTGTCCCATGACAATTATTAAAAAGATGACATTATCTATGATCTCTCAAACTTTCTCCTTCCTCCCTACTTTCAGGCCTCTGGTAAATGGAGATATCTAGGAGATGGGATCTAATTACACCTGCGCTGCCACGACAGCTCAAGGCTCACACAAGCCAAATTCCCCAGCAATATGCACCACCAATGTGCTGGTCTGCACATTTGTTGAAGCAGACAGAGAGCTAGCTGGTCTTCCAGAGGAAAAAAAACAGCAAAGGACATGCTCAAACCTAAACTCAAGCCCAGCCACCACCGGCAGCATGGCCACAGGCTGTGTGCATCACCCTCCGCTTTGTCTTCCTGGAGCACAATTTAGACTTAGTGGGATCTAGTTAAACTGGGGGAGAAGGGGACATACGCTCCGCACACAGCTGAGAAGTATTTTGAAAGGCTCCACTCACCCAGGGGAGTGTCCACCAGGATGGCATTGTACAGCTCCGCAGGCGTCTGAGCAATGTTCACGGCTTCCATCTGCTCAAAACTTCCCAGAGGATGACACTTGGGCACCAGTTCAGAGATTGAACGTTGGTGCAGGGTCCCGGTGATCAGCAGAATGACATTGTCGATCATGTAGCTGTACCTGGAAGAATGCAAGAGGAAGCCTGTCACAATACAGACAATACAAAAACCAACACCTGGCACCTGATGAGCACACATCTTCAGTCCTTGTAAACATCTCCAGCAAGACGCACCCTTCCCACAAAGAATCAGTCACTTCCTTAATGTCTCCTTATCACGCCAACCTGGGAAAAGGGAGCCAAGCATAGTCTCAGGCTGTGATTTATGTTACAGCTCAACTACACCATGTGGGCATCTCCCACCTACCACTGAAGAGTATTACACTGGAAGGGACCTCTAGCGGTCTCCAGCTCAAAGTTCTTCTCCAAGCACGGCCAGCTCAGGGCTTTGCCCAGCTGAACTCTGAACTATTTGCAAGGATGTATATCTCAAAACACCCCTGGGGCTCTGCTCCAGTGTCTGACCACACTCCCTCGTGGTTGTTTGTCTACTGTCTCTCATCCTAACCCCAGACACCTCCAAGAGGAGCCTGGCTCCAGCTTCCCCACACGCTTCCGCAAGGTAGCTGGGAACAGTTGTCTTTCCAGCACTCCCATGGCCATGCTCTGTAGAAAGCACGTGCAAAAGCATGCGTAGTAGGACACCAGCAAAGGGGAATCTGCAGATAGCCTGACCTGAGCTCAGCTTCATTGCCAGCTGCACTGCTCGATCTTGCCAAGACCATGGAGAAAGGGTCATGTTTCTGCAGCCCTGCTCCCTTCCAAAACCAACAGGGCTGGCAGCTTTGGCATCACCTTCATTCACACTCTCACAAAACTACATGCGAGCTTTTTCACACCCCTGCCACCAAAAGCTACACGCTCTTTTGCGTTAGGCCATATTACGATGTTCCTAATCAAGTTCTCAGCTTATGTTCCAAAGGATTAGCAAATTCAATCTTTGGCACTGTAGTAATGGGACATTCAATCTGGAACCACAGCACTCAGCACAAGTTCCTCCAACACAAGCCCTTTGTGGCCCTTTTCTCCAGTATGTCCATGTCACTTTTGCACTGAGGAGCCCAGAACTGGACACAGTACTGTATGGCCTCACCAGTGCTAAGTAGAGGGAGAGGATCACTTCCCAGTCCAGCAAGAGTAGGGAGCCACAGCTGGCCTGAAGACTGGGAATACAAAAAAGCTTGGTGGCCGCCTTCAAGTAGAAGGTCCAAGCAAGGGATCAAGGCATCATGTAAATACAAGATGCTGAGAGGAAAAGTGTCCCCAGCAAGAACAGGAGTTGTGCTCTTAGGCACCTTCACCACAAGCTGAGCCGTAAGCCAACCAAGCTGAGAACCTGAATCACATCAAGCGAGATGAGGGTGGGGTGTTTTTTGCAGTCAGCAGAAGATGCCTTTGCAAATGTCCCTCAGCAGCACAGGGAAGGGGCACAGATGATTTTACACTCCCTTGCTCTCACTGCTAGAGCTCTAACTCTAAAAAGTTAGATGATGGAACAGACCTGAAGAAGGTCCTCCTTGGCAGGAGCTGCTCCAAACCAAACACGATCAGGCCTGAACTAGAACAGCAGAAGGAGCTGTGGATGTCTGGAGTTGGACCTCTGTTGAGGTTGAGGCTTCCCATGTGTACTTAGGTACTGAAGAAAGGGAACTTAAGGCCAGCACACTGGGACTGGGGCAAGGGCAGGAACGGCAAAGATCTGCACGTGTTTCTAATACAATCATAGTTTGTCGGGCATTAGGATGCTGCTGGTCTTTATATTTCCGAGTTAACAAGGAGGACATAGTGCAGCCCTGTTTCCCTTTGAACCACATCAAAGGCAAGTAAGAAGAACCAGTTAAAGAACCAGTTAAAGGCAGATTTCAGCGGGTTTTATTAGATGGGCTTAGTGCCTCTCAAATATGCTCAAAGGGCACGTCATGTCCATGAACAAATCCACACCTTAGTTCCTCAAACAGGTGCTGCTTCTTTCTCCACACTTCAGGGTTGGGTAACGCACCTCCTGGCCCCCACTAATTTTGCAGATGCCTTTCTGCGTTTGCAGCCTACCTGTCCAGGGACGTTCAATCTAGAACCACGGCAATCAGCGCAAGCTTCATGTACTAGGAAACCTCCTTTTGCCCTTTAATCCGCAAGGTCATTATCCTCCCTTCTGTTTGTGCAGCTCTCACCATGGAGATGATTGCAATCACCAGGACAGCAAGAAGGGCCTGTTTATGAAAACTGAGGGTAAGTCCCTTGCAGTAAGCATCTGGTTCCTGGTAAATACAAGCATCTGCACCCTCACACAGATGCATCTCCATGAGGTGTGCCAGACCAAGGATACAGTGGATCATTTCCCAGCTCCACCATCTGCCCGCAAACATGCAAGTTTGCTTAGCGCAACACAGTGGCTTTCAGGAAAGACCATATACAGGATTACTCACCAAAGCAAGGCAAGAACATACGATCAGACCAAATTTGTTTCTTCCACTCAGCCTATGGTGAAGGATCAGGCAAGGAAATACGGTCATTGCGCAGTATGTTACCACACCTCCTTCCTATTCCCAGCTTTCCACAGATCTTGCTCTCTACAAGGTATTTGCAGCTTGCAAGGAGCCTGGCCAAAGTCAACCATACAAGAGGAACTGAGGGAAAGTGCCTGGAGCCCTTTCTGTTCACAGGTCTTCAGAGCAGCTTAGCTCCTGGCTTACTGGAGTCACACTGAGCTCACCCGTGATCGGCATGAAAGCCACAGCCAGGTTTGGGAAGAGCAGCCCCAGTCTGACCCTCTTCATGCGTGAGAAGTTCCTGCTTTCGGACTGATGGTCCCAGGAAAGGCAACCCAGCTGGCTTCCACTGCCAGAGTGCAAAGCATGGCACTTTCATTTATACCCCTTAACTTGCTTGTTTCCTCATCCTTCAGAGAAGTCTTAGGAAATGCACAACCAAATGCCAAGGCCTCTAAAAACACCCAGCAGCAACTTTTTGAACGAATACTTTACCTACTTAAATCTTGCTCTCAGAGGATTCATCCCTGCAGGAGAAGGAGTTACCACACACAAGACAGAGGAGAAATTTCTTATTCAAGTTTCCACTGCGACAGCATTTCAAACTTTTATGATAACAAGAGAGCTGCAGTGGGACAAAGGTCTTCTCATGCCTGCCGAGGCCAGGCAGGCACCAGCACCACCATCTAATCCTTCCTGACAGTTCCCATTTCCTTCAAGCAAGCCCAGACCACATTTATTCACATTCAGTCCCTGCTTCATCCCAGTAAAAACAGTCATGGCTTAGTCAATCATGACTACGAGGCAAGTTCTCTAGTGCTAGGGCAGCTTTAGGGCAGCTGGAAAAGCCTCTTTTCATCTGTGGAAGGGGCAATGCTCGCTTTCCTGTGCCAGGTCCCAACAAGAACGCATCTGCCTCCATTAGCACAGCTGTACTAAGACCATAGCAGAGGTCCTGGCTACGCTGGCATTTCCTCCCAGGCCCAAAGGATTAGATTTATTACGGTGGCAGCAGTTTTCCTAGGAACCTCCAACTATTTGTTTAATAAAGCGGCTTTTGTCACCATCCTGCCCATCTCTCATTACGTTCTGACCAGCTTCAAATGTTTCAACTTTCATGGTTAATGCGTGCTCAGACCCCTCCAAGAACATTTTAACCTTCCCTAGCTCTCAGTGCAACTTACAAGAGGACGAGACTACGGAACACATCAGAAAATAGGAGTAACTGGTCACTTACAACACCATGAAGTCTTACTGCAGCTCACTTGGCGTGGAAAGAGATTGGGACATAGGATGGTCAGGTGGGAAACCGGAGACAGGTAGAAGGACTGACAAGCTCCTTGGTGAGGATGAGCCTCTGCCCTAGCTCACTGGGAACACTCAGTAGGAGTTCAGAGGAGAAAGCACTGCATGGATGCTCTACATAAGCTAGAACCAGTGACATGGGGTGGCAGGGCTTTAATGAAGTGCTAAAACAGCCTCCACAAAGACCATAGCAAAACTCTCTTGGGCAAGAACGTGTTTTACCCTCCAGCTTTGAGCTGCTACCTGCCCACACAGGGAGATGGACACAAGAAGAGCGTATGTTCAGCCAGAGCTTCACGTGCACAGTTACGCCCTGCCTCGTTCTTCCTGTCACCCACTGAACTGAGGTGTGGTATATTCCAGAAATTCACATTCACAGAAATACAATTTTAGTTGATACTGAGAAGCGTCAGTGATGTTGCACAGAAGAGTAGGATTTCTTATTAAAGGACAGGAAAGAGTCAGCAAGCATAGAAATATCACCCACAGCAGGGGAGAGATGTTGGTTTATGGCTTCCTGAAGTCCAAGACAAGCGGGGCCAGTATCTTTGCTCCTCCAGGTGACATCCAGTTCTGCACAATACACACTGGGCAATACAATACTCACATAACGAGAACAAAGCCAGGCTAAAGCTAGAATATGCCTGGAGATGCCAAAAGGGGGGAGTGTGTGTGTCAGGGAAATGTTCCTTCCGGCAGCAGCAGGTCCGAGAGACCATTCCCACTGCTGGTTTGGGGAGGTAAAGTCGAAGATGGGCACAACAGAGACCTCGCCAAGAAAACAGAGGAGAGCCAGGCCCCAGAACCTAATTCTGGGTTAGCCATCTGTGGGTAACTATCAAGCAGAATCAAGGAGGCAGAAAGCACACATGCAAAAGCCATGTACAGGTACTTTGACAATGTAGGTCTTCCTTCTTTAGGAATTGCTTAAGCACAGCCACAGATAAATGAGATAGCGAGCTAGTGCAATCTTTTTTTGCCTGAGTATTGGGAAAGGCTTTTTAGCAGCAGAGCACAGAAAATGCATGAAAGCTCATCACATGAGGCGTTTACAACTTGGCCTGCAAGCACTCAGGCATGGCCCTGCAAGGCAGCAACCCCAAGACAGCGAGGGCTTCTCCCTCCCCCACTTGTTAATCTAATCTAATCATAAAGAGTCATTGTCCTACGGCAGATAAGTTGGTTTTTTATTGCTTTCTGCTCCAGGATACTAAAGAAACCGTAAACAATACTGCAAGTGGTCACAAAGCATGACTAATGACGGAACA